TGGGAGCTCAGGGCTGTTCACGGTTTTGTCTAGAGTCTACGGAAGAGGAGGAGGCCGCTCTAGACCAACGATGGGAGCATGTCCTGGGTGAGGATGCACAGTCCAGCGGGGTGTGTCTGAGGGCCTCGGAAGGGGGTGGGGGGCGGGCACCATCTCCTGATAGGCTAGTTCAGGGTCAGCTGACTGTGGTTCCAGCCAAGTCCAGCCCCACTTATTTTTGTAAACAAGGTCTCACTGGAACTCAGCCAGGCCCACGCACTGGTCTATGCCCAGACTACGTGGGGGCCACGCGGGGGGTGCTGTCCATGCAGGGCTGTGGAGCTAGAGCGCCTGAACCAGCTTCCATCGGGCTCTTCACAGGAAATGTTTGTGCCCCTCTGCCCCAGTCCCTGAGGATGCAACTGGCAGACGAAACCCTACCCAGTGTGGGGCCCACTTCCCTCTCTCGGTCTCTCTCCTCCTCTTCCTCTCTTTCCTCCTCCGGTCTCTCCCCCTTCTCCTCCCACTCTTCCCTTTCTCACTCCCTTCCTGTCTTCCTCCAACTTATTAATATATTCGCTACACGAATGTCACTAAGAGCCCTAGCAGGTGTGGCTCAGTGGATAGAGCACCAGCCCACGGAACGAAGGGTCCTGGGGTCCATTCCGGTCAAGAGCACACACCTCAGTTGCAGGCTCCAGCCCCAGCCCTGGTCGGGCGCGTGCAGGAGGCAACCAATCGATGTGTCTCTCTCACATGGATGTTTCCCTCTCTCCCCCTCCCTTCCACTCTCTAAAAATCAATAAAAAAAATGCCTCCGGGTGAGGAGTCACAACAAAAAAGAACGTTACTGCCCTGGCCGGTCTGGCTCAGTGGATAGAGTGTTGGCCTGCGGACTGAAGGGTCCTGGGTTCGATTCTGCCAAGGGCGCGTGCCCGGGTTGCGAGCTCGATCCCCAGTCGGGGGCGTGCAGGAGGCAGCCAATCAATGATTCTCTCTCATCATGGATGTTTCTATCTCTCTCTCCCTCTTCCTTCCTCTCTGAAATCAATAAAGAAATATATATTTAAAAAAAAAGAGAGAGAGAGAACGTTGCTAAGTGACATCCTAGCAGATGATGCTGGTCCTGTTGGTGTGAACGACCGAGGGAGGTTCTGGTGAGATCCCCGTGCATGCCTCTCGGGGGGCTCGCGACAGGTGATGCCTTTCTGACACTGTGCCTGCCTGACCTTGGGGGGCCCGCGAGTCCAGCGTTTATGGGTCTAAAAACCTCTGAAGCGCTGACTTGACCTGAACTCCTCTGAGCTCGTGGCTCGGGGACACGCGTCTGCGCGCTGGGCCGACCCGGGCCCGGACCCGGACCCGCCCCCGCCCGGCCCTGCTTCCTTGCTGAGGGGCCCTCCCGGGTGGGACTCGGCGTAAAGGCCGGACCCCGGGCTGAGTAACGGGCCGGTGACGCAAACACGGGTCTGTCTCACCACTCGGTCTGTCTGGGCGTCACACCCGGAGGTCGGTGCTGTATTGACCGGGCGGCGCTAACACATGCTCTGAAACTCCTGCAGGCGCCTCCTGGCTTGCTCGAGGAACTGCTTGTGCGACTTGTTTTGCTCCAAAATTTGCTCTTCAAGGTCACGGATCATCTGACTAGGCGTGCTGTCATTGTCGTCCTCCTCCTCGCTGCTGGCGGCCGGCGGGGCGGCGGTGCTGCGCTCACACCCCCGGGCCTCCTCCAGGTCCGGAGAGGGCGGCCCCGTGACGCGAGCCGTGACGCGAGCCGGGCGAGCGCTCATCTGTGGCCCTGTCTCCGGCTCCGTCTCCGTCTCCGTCATCTCTCCTGGCTCCATCGGGGGCCGGCCCAGGGCTTCCCAGCTCAGCTGCGGGAGTTCGTGCACCTCCACCAGCTTCGGTCGCCATCTCTGCTCCCGGCTCTGCTTGGGCCAGGCCGGCTCCGAGCGGGCTCTGCCCACCTGTGCCGGCGGGCGAAGCTGCGACAGGAGCATGTCGGGTCGGGGCGGCTCGTGCCTGGGTCTGAGGCCGCACCAGAGCGGGCTCTCCTCCTCGGGGTGCGGTGCCAGGTACCCCTCGTCCGACAGCAGGGGCTCGACCAGCTTCCGGTACTGCCGGTCCTTGAGCTGGCACAGGATCTCCTTCACGTTGGCGCTGGGCGCCGCGGGGCAGGCGTCCTCCTGGGCTGGACCCGGGGCCAGGTCCATGAGCAGGTCGCCCGCCCGCCTCTACCAGCAGGAACCACCCTGGCACTCACACGGCTAGGGGAAGCCCAGCTGCTCGATGGGGCACATGTCTAGTCCCAGGCGTGGACTACGCGTGTTCGTCAACTTCGAAATGGAACAGCAACCTCTTGGGATAAACACAACGAGCTAAGAACTACTGATGCTCACCATAAAGTACATCTTGGAAGGCACTAGGGTTTAGTATCTGCTGTAAGGCCCTTGTTCCAACTCTTTCAACAGTTATTCTAGAGTTTACATA